ATATCAAAGTAGATTCTACTGTCATGTATAATTAAAAAGAATAAAAAATTTTTAAAAAAAGAAACTATGGCCATAAACGTYTACATGAGAAGAATGATATGTGCATCCAATTCAAAGAATTAGAAACGAACAAGGAAATAAAACTAAACCAAGTAGAAAGATAGTAATAAGAATCATAAATTTAAAAAATGGAAAACCAACATGAGAGAGAGGATAAAGTCAAAATTGGCTCGTCAATAAAATTCACAAAATTGATCCATTCCTGGCAAGAACTGGTCAAGAAAAAAAGAAAACAAACAAACAAAAAAAGGAACACAGTATCAAGAATGAAAGGCATCACTAAAAATCCTGGGGACCTAAAAACCTAAGACTATAAAGACAATCTCATGCCAATATGTTTTAAAATTATGATAAAGCAGACAACTCAAAGTAAGTATTACATATCAAAAGTAATATACAATATAAAAACCTAAAAAGCATATACACTTTCATCTACATGAATCCATAATTATAAAGTTCCTGCAAACAAATCATAGGTGTATGACTTCTCCAGCAAGATCTTTAAATTCAACAGACATTGATCCTAGACTACACAAATTCTTCCAAGAAACAGCAAAAGAGGGCATAACTTCCAACTCATCTGACAAAGCTAACATAATCTTTATAGCAAAACTGCACAAGATCAGTGTAAGAAAAAAAAAATCCCACAAACTCATTTACGAACATAGATGAAAAATCCTAACAAAGTATTAACAATCCAAACTGTGTAGAAGAACATATGCATAACAAACAAGTTTGGTTTCCACAAAAGGATGCAAAGAAGCTCTTTCAATTGTCCTGATGGTGTTTCCTAGAATTATAAACATTCTAAGAAAGGATACACCTGGGTTAATTGAAATGGCTGTCGCTTAAGGTGCAAAATTAGATTGACTTTCTAATATTAAATCAATATAATTATCTACATTAATAGAATGAAAAAAGAAAAATCAAATGATTGCCTCAGACGCCCAAAAATTTTGGAGTGTACTCAACTACACTCATAATTAAAGCAAAGAAAATCCTCTTAGCAAATTGGGAATAGAAATTTATTTCTTTGAATGATTAAAAAGTACCTACAAAAAACCTACAGAAAACATCATACCTAATGGAGACACGTCGAATGCTTTCACTTTGAGATCAGCATCAAGACTAGGATGCCCAGCTATCACCACTTCTATTCATCATTGTACCGGATGTCCTAGCCAGCAGAGTAAGACAAGAAAAATAAATAAAAGATATAAGGATCATAAAGAAAGACACTAAACTCTTATTATTTGCAGATTATGATGTGTACACAGAAAACATAAAAGAATCTACAAATAAACTAGAATTAATGAAAGTTTAACAAGGATGCTGAATATTTTAAAAAACTGTATGTAAAAAATCAACTGTATTTCTACATACCAGCAGCAATAAGAAACTAAAATTAAAGACACAGACATCATTTATAATAGCATCAAAAATGACTAAATCTAAAATAGAGATATGCAAGACTGATACCCTAAAAAATATCAAAATTTTAAGATATTTTTAAAGACCTAAATATAAATAGAAATACCATGTTCATGGATTAGAAGACACAATTATTGTAAAGATACATTCTCCCAAATTTATCTACAAAATAATCTCAATAAAATCATAGCACGTTTACCATAGAAATATATTAGTAGATTCTGAAATTAATATAGAAATACAAAGAGCCATGAATAGCCTCGTTTCCTGAAGAAAAAAGAAAGTAATTTAAAATTCTAGTAATCAATAAAATGTGGTATGTCAATGGATAGACAAAAACAGTGGAACAGAAAAGACATCCTAGAAACTCACACGCATATATGATCACAGGTGAAATGTCAAAGCAACAGTTAAAATGATGAACTTCTTAATAAAAAAGAATGCTTTGGACAGCTGGGTGTCCAAATGAAAAGATCCCTATACATGATATCATACACAAAAATAAATCTCTAAGCAGAGTATAGATCTAAATGTAAAAGAAGAAAAAAAGCTTCAAGTGAAAGACAATATCAGAAAATATCTTCATGAACACAGGTGAAGGAATCTTTACAAAAGACACTCAAACAGGAAAGATAAAATGACCATGTTGGAAATTTGTTAATAAATGTAAGACAGTGAAAAAAGCAGCCCAATTAGAAGAAAAGATATTTGTGACAGATAAGTCTGATTAAGATTTTATGTCTAGAATATATAAACATCAAGCCAGTAAATAAAAATCAAAACAGAAAAACTACAAAATGTCTTAAATAAGTAGTACTTTGGACACAGATTAATTTTTAAAAACTCCATCTGGCTAATAAACAGGTGCCCAACCTCCCTAGTTACCAAAGAAATGCAAATTAAAACCCCAGAGATAGCAATACACAGCCCCCAAGGTCAACTAAACTGGAAAATGTCTACTGATACCAACTTCTATCAAAAACACAGCACAACAGAAACCCTCATGCACTGTTTGTAGGAGGAACAACTAATACAACCTGCTTAGGAAAACACTGTTACATTATTAAATTTGAAGATATGCATACCCTATGACTCATTGATTCCATTTTAAAATATATCCCATACATATATGTATGCTAATACATACCTGGATACACATTGTTATTAAGTACCATTGTTTATGAACAACCTAAAACCGAAACAACCCAAATGTTCATAAACATCTATTTTATGAAAACAGGCCATATCCATTTAAAGAAACACTCTGCAACAAAATCAACTATAATCATAAACAATACTATGGATGAAYTTTAACACTGAGTCAAAGAAGAAAAAAAATTACATAGTGCACAAAAACATTTATACAAAGCTCAAATATAGAGAGACATATAAATACTTAAGCAGCAAAATACTAAAGAAAGGCAATAGACTGCTGTAAATATCAGGATATTGGTCACCTAATAGATAAGAAAGAAGGTCATAGTCTGAAAATGGTACAAGGTAAGCAATTTTAGGAGTCCCAGCAATATTCTGCTTAATCAGGACAGCAATTACACAGATGGTCACTCTATTTTAAATTAATTTATGCATTTTTCTGTGTTTTATTTCATGTAAAAGTTTAATTCGTTTAAATTCTAAATAAAACCAAAAAGTAACTAAGACTTATCAAAATATTCTATTCAAAAAAGTAGTACCCCAAATGCCCAAAAGTCTGTTTCGTAATTAAATCAAATGAAATACAAAGCAATTGTTCAAATGCTGGTACAGATTTGAACAGATAAGTCTGATTTTTATGTGAGACCCAAAGTCCTTTTGTTCAATTAAACCTGAAGGAAGACAAAAAGATGATAATCTCAATACATTTAAACACTAAATGCTATGATACACAGATTTCAAGATAGCCTCCAAAGATACTCCTTTCTTGGATATTCACACCCTCGTGTAGCTACGGAATAATCCAATGAGTTTCAAGTGTGGAAGAGAAAATGAGTCCAAAGTCTAAAACAAACAAAAAAGAAAAATACAAAATAACTGCAACCCTATTTCACATTCTGTTTAAAAGAAGAGGTATGCATAAAATATAAAAAACTTATTTTTTCAAAGAATTTTCTATAGCAAAAAATGTTGAGCATTCACATGTTGGATTACATTTATTACCATATATTTAAAAATTTTTAGCCGTGCCAAAGTGTAGTACAAGGATTATGAATTTCAAAATCATGGGGCTTTTTAGAAATGCAGGTTGTGAGGCTTCAAAACGACCCCCTTAATGAGAACTTGGATTTTAACACATCCTTGAGTGATTTTCATGTATACTGTAGTTTAAGAAGTACTATGCTACGAACATTTAAACAAATGAATGACTAGACATCATCCCCTCTCCCACCCAAAGGAAGGGGTGGGGGAACAAACAGACTAAAAAAATCTTAAAAATACAATGAAGATGCTTTCATAAACAGACATTACAATCATAATTGTTGACTTAGSAAAAGTTAAGGGTAAGACAAATACAGTCTCAAATCACATTGAGTATTTAGCTATCATCACTAGCAAAATCCAGACAAATCTAATCTGAAACAACTCAGAAAAAGTTAAGAATAGGACACAAAGAATAACCAAAAGAAGGAACAGTAAGTTCTGGCAGTGTACACTTAGAATATTTCATCAAATAAAACCTCTCTCATCTTTTTATTTTCAAAAAGAAGATAGTCAAGAACACAGAACATAATAGTTATGCTTTTTTCTAAAGAGTAAAAAGTGCCCAAATATGACAACTTTTAAAGTAAAAATATCAGAGATTTGAGATAGTCAGACTTGAAAGAAATACACAAGATATCAGAGTAACTATCGTATGCTATGCAAATTCTGTTTGACTTTTCCATATTTTATACATTTGTGAAAATGACTTGAGAAATGTTATATTAAATAAGAATACTGGTTTTAAAACAGTTAAWATAAAGCTTTTTTAGCTACTTTGCATGATTTAGACTTTCCAAGTTCTAAATATGTGGCTATGTTTTACTTATTTTCCCTACAAGCATTTTTTTTTTCTGTAAGAAAAACTGTTAACCCTGAAGGCTTTAATTACATTTCCCTAAATTTTCTTTCCATGATAAAGGGTAGTCTGTAACTTGATAATTATTTTTTAATACCTTTATTTTATTTTATTTTTTTAATTTTATGTAGTGCCAAGGATCGAACCCAGTGTCTCACACATGGCAGGCAAGAGCTCCACCAGTGGGCCACAACCTCAGCTGTCATTTGATAATTCTATCCTCTCTTTTTATAGCTTTAAGGTTAATCATTAGTGTAAATCTTTCTGAAAACTTTAAGCACATCTCCAAAAAAGGATTAAAAAAATCAAATTTTTATAGTAAAACAAAGCCTAAGAAAATGTCCTGAAAGTCAATGTTTTTAAGTATTTAAATATTTCATTAGCATGAAACGTTTTTCTAAAGAAAAGTCAACAATAGTACACAAAATATTATGTAAAACACAAAATAATATACCTCTCTTTTATTTCTTCTTGCAACCTTGAGGAATTCCATAAGAATCTGTAGCTGAGCTGCATGTGATTCCTACAACAAAAAATTGTAATTGTTCTTTTAAAAATATCACTTTGAATTCAGAGTTATCACTAACACCACAGTATAACCAACATTGAGCAACTTTACACACTCATTTCAATTAGTCTACTGCTTCTAGCTAAACGGTTTTCCCACTTCTTGGCTGACATTTCAAAAAGCAAGCAATTTTCCATGAAAATAACTGATGTTAATTTTAAGAAACATGTGTTCTACACGTTGAAGAATATATTTCTGGGCAATGGCTTCTCTTCCACAGTCAAATATCAAGACAAAACTCATAGAGGAACTAACAATTTCTTGACATAAAAATCAATCTTCCCATAAAAATTTCCTTTTGCATAATGCAAAAAAATTCATGGTTTTCAAAAGCCAAATTTACCATTATCTACTCAGTGGGTGTGAGAATTAATATATTTTTGTAGAACATGTTAGCCAAAACCAAACATTTGGAAACATGGTTTCCATCATAAATGGTGGGTGTGCATGAACACAAAAATGCACACCTACCATTTATGATAGAAACCATGTTACTCCTAATTAGTAAGTGAAACAAAGATGAAACTGAGAAGTGATAATTGTAAGCCTTGACATTTACTATATATCAAAACATAAAAAATAAATATTCACATTTTCCATTAAAATTCACCAAATAACCAAGGAATTACAAGTGAATCTGATAAATATATGTAAAAAGAATATCAAAAGCTAAAAAGAGAGTAATCATAAAGACAGTTCATAAACAAATATAATTTTAAAACATTTTTTGTTGGAAAGCTAGAATAAAAAAGTCTAGTGGAGTAATATCAAAACAAAAATAAATATGAAAGACTAATAAAACTTCCATTTATCTGATCATGAAACAGAATTATCTGGAGCATTTGTTAAAATAGAGTCAGGGTCAGATTTTAGAGATTCTGATTCTCTTGCTCTAGAAAAGATGCCAGGAATCTGTTTAATAAGGATCCAGATGATAAAAATAAGCCCATTAAAATCTGAAGAATCACTAATATGTAATACATACTTAAAAAAGAAAAAAAACCACAAGCACTTCACACTCATTCCCCAAATTTATCTATTCTTCTGGAGAGAGGGTGGGGATCTTTGCACTTAAAAGCATAAGCAATGAAACAGACCAATGAAAATTTTAAGTTGAGGCAAACAAGGAGAGATAAAAACAAAAACTTATAATCTCAATAGAATATTAAAATTAGAAAAACACAACTGAATTAATGTTTTACAATTAAATAAATTTTTAAAACATGGTAACATGAAGATGATCTTTTTATATTTATTATGGATGAATAATTTGGTCCTTATGCTTTTATTTACAGAGTACATCCTCCCAAGCACTGGGAACTCTACAGTACCTTCTCAACAGAACATCTAGCATGTTTAGGGAAGAAATGTTTCTACTTGCATAAGACTTTCCAAATAGAATAATACAAGAGTGTTATTTTTGCAAAGTAGAATTACTATAGATAATGATAATACACTACACATTATTCAAAAAAGTAAAAAACAAAAACAAAGAATTTTTAATGTTTTTGTCACAAAGAAATAAGTCTATTAGAAAATAGAGGTTTACTCTGTGATCTGAACATTACACAAGGTATGCACATATCAAAACACATGGAACCCCATAAATATGTACAATTTTCATGTTGAGTTTAAAAATAAATAGAAATATAAAAGTAAAATAAAAAACTGAAAAGGTTTTATCTAGGCAGCTGATATAGAATGATAAAAAACTAGGGAATGCTAATTCTTGCTATAAAACTTATTTATTAATAACATTTGACATTGTAAATTAGATGTGTTTATGACTTATTTTAAGAGTAAGGGAAGCAAGTGGAAGTAATAAGCCAAGGGGAGAGAAAGAAAAAGAAAAAAGAATGTTCCAGATGTGATAAGTCAAGGGTTCTGGGATTTCAACCCAAATACTACCTAATTTTAAGAGTGGGTTCCCTGCTGCTTGACTTCAGATTCCCTATCAATAAAAATGAACAGGTAACCTTTCTCAAACTAAGAATCATTTTGTCATACCTTATATATGACAAAACAATTATTCAATTTTTCTTTATATCAACAAATTATTTTCCTTAAATCTAATTTAAAACAAAAAATTTAAAGAAATTCCAGTTGCAAAGTCAACAGCAGCCTACACACTGGGTTACAGATCCATAGTATATATGGCACAGAAGGTTTTAGGAAATTCATTCACAAATATTCAACCTTCCATATTTCTCTTTCATACAATTGATCTGCTTACCAGGCATAACTCTACTTCTCTTAATAGTTCTCACTTGTTCTTTACATGATAGAAGGAAAAAAAGGCTTTTACTTAACCAGAAGTTTACCTTGCTGAATGGTCCTGGGGCATAAAAGCATCTGGTACAATTTTAAGACAAGACAATTTTAAAACATTGCTGTTTGGTAAAGTGAACAGCTCTAAATAAAGAATAGGTACTGAATCTTCTTACAAGTGAAGGGATTCCCGATTCTATGTGTTCAGTACAGTGGAGGATATAAAACTAAAAGATCTAACAATGGAAGGAAAACTGAAAAATCCATAATCACATTAGTAAACTAATATAATTTTCTCTGTACTAGACAGGGTTTTTTATTATAAACTAATTTTAAAAGAAATTTTTTTAAGTAGAAAGAAGATATGAAAATCTGATTAAAAATTAAATATAAAGAACATAAATATATCTGTTATGGTTTGGATGTGAGGTGTCCCCAAAAAGCTCAAGTGTGAGACAATGCAGGGTTTAGAGGAGAAATGATTGTGTTAGGAGAGCCTTGAGCAGTGAATTAATCCCCTGATGGGGTTAACTGAGTGGTAACTGAAGGCAGGGAGGGAGTGGCTAAAGGAGCAGTCATTGGGGATGTGCCTTTGGGTATATATTTATCTGGTAAATGGAGTCTCTCTCTCCTTACTCTTCTATCACAATGCCATACTCTTCTATCACAATGTTTTGCCTCACCYTGAGCCCTGAGGAAAGCAGCCAGTCATCTATGGAATGATACCTCTGAAATGATGAGCCCCCAAATAAATTTTTTCCTCCTCTAAAATTGTTTTTGTTAGGTCTTTTAGTCACAGGAGTGAAAAAGTTGACTAAAATAAAACTCAAAACAATTTAAGAATACATGTGCTTCAAAGCATGAGAAGAATATTTGTTCATAGAATGAAAACTAAAATTTGGAAGAACTACTATCACAGATAACACTTTCATAATACAAAACTCATGTTAAAATAGGAACAGGGCTGGGGTTGTAGTTCAGTGGTATAGAGCTTGCCTGGTATGTATGAGCCACTGGGTTCAATCCTCAGCACSACATAAAAATAAAATAAACAAAAAGATAGATATTAAAAAATAGGAACAGATCTATTTCAGATTAAAAGATAAAAGTTGCTCTTACAGTTACAACAAAAAGTATATGAACTCAAAAAATATATTATTATCAGATGCCACTAAAATGAAAGTAATTCAAGCAGCAACTGAGCCCCAATTTAGATATAAGTCCTGATTTAGACCCTCCCCCCAAAAATCAGTCTCTCATCCTTTCTCCCTGATAAAGAAAAATAAGACTGTTCAGGAAAAATATATGTTAACTTCTTTAGTCTCTATACCACTCATGAATGTAGAACATATAGGACAGAATTTTTAAAAAATTACAAGACATGAAAAGTAGTAGAAAAATCAAAGGATAAAAAGGTTACAGAAGTAAATTCAGATAACCCAGATGCTAAATAAGCAACAAAGGACATTAAAATATTCCTATAAGTTGGTAAAAAGTTGAGAGGGAAAGTGGACAAAATGAGCAAAGGATACAGAATTATAGAAAAGAAATGAAAGAAATGTAACTATTAGAAATGAAAAAATGAGGGCTGGGGATGTGGCTCAAGCAGTAGCACGCTCGACTGGCATGCGTGCGGCCCGGGTTGGATCCTCAGCACCACATACAAACAAAGATGTTGTGTCTGCCAAAAACTAAAAAATGAATATTAAAAATTCTCTCTCTCCCCCCCACCCTCACTCTTTAAAAAATAGAAATGAAAAAATGAAACAAAAAATGTCTGATTTTTAAGGAAAAAACACTAAGACTGGGGGTGTGGCCCAGTAGTAAAGTACTTGCAGGGTCTCTCCCTGGGTTCCAGAAAGAAGGGCAGAGGTAGGAGGGAAAGACACAGAAAATACTGCATGAGATTAGAAGCAGACTAAACACAACAAAGGAAAGGAAAAGTTCAATATGTATCATTTAATCTGATACACAGAATATAAATGTACATATAATTAATTTATTTTGTTGTATATTTATTTATTTTATACTTTCTATAAGTAAAAACATAAGAACAGAGCATCAGGAATATGTGATTAATGAAATTTTATAATAATATATTACTAAAAATCAAGAGAAAAAAGTGCTGAACAAAATGGTTGACAATATTCAAACAGTAGATATTTCTATTCCATGATACACAACCAGAATAACATAAAGAAAATGAAATCTAGGAATATCATAGTCACACAGCTGAAAACCAATGTCAAAAAGAGAATCTTAAAAGCAGCAATAAAGAAAAGGGGTGTATTATCTTTAGTAAAACAGTAAAAATGATTGCTGATTTCATCAAAAACAAAGGAAGCAAAAAAAAAAATGAAAGTATTGTTAAAGTGGTAAATGAAAAAAAAAACTCTAGGCTTCTATATATAGCAAAACAAGCAACTATACAATAAAGAGTAAAGAAAGTTACACAGATAAAGGAAAAATAAGCCAGATGAAAGCCCAGATCTAAGGGGGAAAAAAAAAAAAAAAGAAAGGGTACATCAAAGTTTTTTTAATCACATCTTCAAAATACTCTTTAAGGCTAAAATAACAATATTTAGCAGAGTTTATAACATAGTTTTAACCTCAAAAAGCAGTTTGGCAATAAATTATTTTAAAGTTTTATGTTTTCCTGTAAAGTGGCATAATAAAGATTCAAGGTTGACTATAAATATTGTCCTTGAAGTGATATTATAAACTCGAGATTGTGAAAAGAAAAAGACATGTATAATCTTTACAGGAACCATTAAGAATACAATAAAACTATGCAAAAAATGGAAAAGATAGAATTGCATACTAAAAGACAAAACTAAAATCTCAATGATTTCTATAAAAGGCAAAATGTGAAAAACAGAATAGAGAATAGACGGAAGGAATGGAAAATAAACACCATGCAGTAGACTCAAACTCAACCATATCAATAATTATATTAGAGGTTGGGGGTGTAGCTCAGTTGTAGAATACTTATCTAATATATGCAAGTCCTGGGTTCCCTCCCCAGCACCATACACACACACACACACACACACACACACACACACACACTTTAAATGAACATAAATTGCATTTGCACTAAATGAGCTTATTGTGTTTAAAAAAGAACAGAAATAAACCATATATACTATTAAGACACACACTTTAAAAGGACAATGACAGAATGAAAGAGAAGGATAAAAAATATAACAATTATAAGTAAGGTGCTATTGTTCTATCAATATCAGACAATGTAGACATCACAATTAGGATTTCTAGCAATAAAATTATACATTTCATAATAATAAAGCAAATAATTTATCAGGAGACATAAGAATCCTAAATTATATAAACCTAATAACAGAGCTTCAGAATACATGAAACAAACAAAAGAACCACATAATTAAAAAGTAGATAATCAAAATAAAGCATACCTCTATCAATAGTTGATAAAGTAAGAGAAAAAGATTTGAATAACATTAACCAATTCTAACTATTTATAATACCACTCCAAGGACAATATTTTCAAATRCAAGTGTCACATTTGAACAAAACAGGCCATATCCTAAAAATCACAATCAATTTTAAAGAACTAAAAGCAAATAAATGAGCTCCCACTCTTGGCTAAAATGGTAGAAGAGGAACTAAGATTTACATTCCTACCATTATCAAATCATCAGTTCAACTATATGAAACAACAACTCTCAAAGGACCAGAAATATCATAGGCTCCCAGCAGTCTGAATGAAAAAAAAATCTAGAAAGACGACAGAAATCAGAAAGAACACCCAAAAAGGTTTTCTTAGCAGTCGGGCAAAATTAGTTTAGACAAAAGAACTACTCTGGTCCCACTTAAAAACAAGTTTCAAGAGATGAAAATTATTTCCAAATAACCTAACTGTATGTCAGAACACAGCTCAAAAATATCCAGTATAGAACGAGATGAAATTAATTATTCCTGGCATCCAATAATTAAATTAATATACATGCAAAGAGACAGGTAAATGTATCTCAAAATATGAAGACAGAAACTTCAAACTAAGCAGATACCGATACGGACAAGAGAAGACAAAGATTAAAGCATCATTTTAAGTAAGCATGTTCAATAAGTTACATAAAACAATAAGCTTGTTAAGGAGAGACAGAGAAGATCAAAAAGATTACTGAATTTGAAAATAACAAGAGAAACTATCCAAAATGAACTATACAGATKAAAAATATATAACAAAATAAACAGAATTGTTCATTAATGTCTGTGAAACAACTTCAAACTAATAAACAAGTTTCCAACTGGAAGAGGAGAAAAATATTTGAATATTGGTTGAAATATCTCTAAATCTGAAGGAAACTATAAATGTATATATTCAAGAAGTTCAAAGAATCCCAATAACTAGAAACAGGATGGGGGTCCCCTATATCCAGGTGCAGCATAATCAAACACTTAAAGCCATAAAAAGAATAAACTGGGAGAAACAGGTGTCCTTCAGAAGACCATAGATAAGAATAAAAGTAGCCTGCTCATCTGAAACAATGCAAGGCAGAAGACATTGAAGTAACATCTTTTGAAAAGTCAACCTAGAATTCTACATTTATACAGAAGCACCTTTCAAACACAATGGTCAAAGACTTAAATATATTGAAGTATTAATTCACCACCAGAGGCTTGCACTAAAGAAATAATAAAGGATTTCCTTCAAGCAGAAGAAAAATGATAACACATGCAAATGTGATATACCTTTAATATATTAAGTACCTGATGTCCCCAAATGCAGGATCTCTCCCTACAACATAAATAAGGGTTAGCTCTTAGCTCTTGCCCTAACTGCTGCTTAGCACACAGTTTTATCATATCTATAAATCTTTTACTTTGCATTCAACTGCTTTATAGCTTACAAAATACTCCTGCCAAGGAATATTCCTTTCATATTTGATATTTCATAAAATATCAAATATGAAAGGAATATTTGGATACCCATTCTCATTGATTCAACCTCAACACTTTTCCCTACCAAAACATTCCCAGCCTATTCAGGATGATCCAAATCCAAGCTAAACTAATCAGTATATAGCTGCAGAATTTAAAATGAAGTTTAAAAGACCTTCTTTGTTTATATTTTATACAATAAATGAAAGACTCCCAACAATATTGGAAAATCTCATTTGCTTGTAGTTTTCGAGAGAAGAAAGTTCTAATCTCAATCTAGCTGATCAGCTCATGTTTTCTGTACATGTAAGCTACTCAGACACCCTTTCTAAAGCTATATACCCCTTATCTTCAGCTCAGTCAGGGTATTTGTTTATGTTAAGGTGTGTACTGCCTTTATTATATCATATTCAATTCCTAATACATCCCATTTTATACAACCCATTTACAATTTTTATACCTATTTATATAAACAAAATTCTACCTTTATTTTCATTCAATTACATGAAATAAGGTATATTTAGATATACACAACTCTATAAATGTTCTTAATTAATCCAGAGACTGTTGCTGCTACCAGAGAACTGCTGAAGTTATTTTATAGAGATAAAAATAATTTCTATTTTCTGCTCTAAATCTCAAGTATGAAAGGATATGACAAGGAAGACAGTCACTGGAAGAAAATAATCAATATAACTGTTTCCTCTTAAAATAAAACTTTACTTTTTCATGGTCTTTAACATTCAGCTTTTATTAATACAAACTGACCATTTCAGATAGGTTAAATGGAATTTTTTGTTTAACTTGAAAAGTCTGTCAGAATAACTTTGCAGATGTTTTTAGACCAATAAAAATAAAACTTGACCTAAATTTACAGATCTTTTCATTGTAAAAACGGATCATCATTTAAAATTAAATTATTGTTTTTTAAACTTTGCTTCCACTTACTGCTTCTAGTTGTTTCTTCTTCTGCACTAGTAACTCCAACATGAGATTGACATTAGCCAAATCAAGGTTATCTTGATCAGTTCCCAGCAAATCTTGAAATATTTGCCATCTGTGACCATTCTAAAAATGAAAAGAAGAAACACAATAGTTTCTTGACAAGATTACTTTAGAGACCCTAAAACAAATGTTTACCTGCTATTTCCTCTATTCTATTACACAGATACCAAAAATATACTAAAATAATGTTCCAACCTACTCCTTCTAACTAGTGGCTTACCACTGCCTTTTAGTTATAATTTAAAAACTTTTCGCCCTTAAATAAATTTTGATAACACATACAAAAGACACATTAAAGACAAATGTTAAACCAGAACCTCTGAAAGTGTAATTTCTTTTCAAAATAAGTAACACAATTTTAATTATTTGTCTACCAATATTATCAGACTTTGTACTTGGTAAGGTGTTAGTTTAAGCTCACTTGACTTCAGTAATTTGGGGCTAATCCTTTGAACTGAGAATCTTTTCAACAGTTTTTTCAAGTATCTGCCCATTATTTCCACTTTGCCATATATTCCTTCAAATGACACATATTACCAGCCAACTCTGCCTCAGTGTGATCCCATCAGAACTTTCAAAACTCTAGCCAAGTATTAATATAGTCAAGAAAGTTATTTAAATAGAACAATCTTACACGATTTTTATTTAAGAAAAGTAAGTTATATACTAAACTTTAACATCTATTAATATTAAATAAAAACAATAAAATGGAATTTATTAAAAATAGTAATAAGAGTTGAAACATACGGTGCTACTCACTGAGTGGTCCAATTTGAACCTCTTTTCCTCAAATCTTTGCTTCTGTTTGAGAATGAGTTCATTCACTAAAAACAAACAAAATATTCACATAATTTGTACTTTTGGGGGTACATCTTCTAATAGTTCTGTTTTGATGGTTTGAATATGAGGTATCCCCCAAAAGCTCTTGGGTTAATGTAGGAATATTCAGGGGTAAAATGAATGGATAGAGAGCTCTAACCTAACAGTTCATCCTAGTTTAAATGGATTAACTGGGTGGTAATTATAGGCAGGTTGGGCAAGGCTGAAAAGAGGTGGGTCACTGGAAACCTGCCCTGGAAGGGTGCATCTTCGCTATGGCCACTTTACCCCTTCCCTCTCTCTCTGCTTCCTGGCCAGCCATGAATGGTGCAGCGCTTCTCCACCACACTATTCCATCATAATTCCCTTACCTTGGGCCCAGAGCAATGAACATGAACTAAATCTCTGAAATCATGAGCCAAAATAAACATTCCCTCCTATAAGTTGTTCTTGTCAGGTATTTTTGTCAGAGCAACAGAAAAGCTGACTAACACAGATGGATTCTACTTTAACTTTACAAAGTTCAAACTTAAAAACATGCTAAAAAGAGTGTTATTATCTTTTCGTTTTATTTCAAAGTACAATCTTCCCACACCTGTTACCATTACAACTTTTATTACCACAGAAAAAAATTCTTCAGAATATGAAATTTCTCATTAATGACACTTGTGAAAAGAGAATTCAACACTGTGTGTCTCATGTTCCACATGTGACTGGAATGGGTATCTGAGTATTTACAAGAAGATATAAACACTAAAAGGTTTTGTTTTTGTTGTAAATTTTCAAAAAAATACCACAGAAGACACCGTCATTTACCTATCCCAAATGCATCTTATCCTTTTTCTTGGTAAAAAGATTATTTTCTAAGTGGCAAACTGTAACTTAACTTTCAGAAAGCCTAGATCCCTCTCCAAGCCCACAGTATGGTTCTTTTTTTTTTTTTCAATATTTTTCATTTTAGTTATAGTTGGACACAAAACCTTTATTTTATTTTTATGTGGTGCTGAGGATTGAACCCAGGGCCTTGTGTGTGCTAGAAGAGCACTCTAACGCTAAGCCACAATTCCAGCCCCACAGTATGGTTCTTGACTAAGAAAGGCCAATCTAGACATTCATATCCTCCCAACAATGACGTGGGGTCAAGTATACAACCCAGTTTTAACCAATGAGAGGTACGCTGCCTTTCAAAGAGAGGACAGAAAAAAACGAACAAACAAATTTCTCCCCTGCCTTCATAAGGGGAAGGTACATGAAATTGCTTTGAGCCATTTTTCAAACTTGAGGGTGCCTAGCCAAAGGCCCAAGGCACATGCTGGGAATGGAAGAACGAACTTATCAACACAGTACTGGATTAACAAGTTCTAGAAATCCTTTGCCCATCAATCAATACATTTTCCATAATGTTTAAGTCACTTTTACTTGCATTTTTTTCTGAGTGTTTTTTTTAGTCAACACATACTAATACAAAAAAAAAAAAGATTAACAGGAAACTAGCACTATCATGTCATGTACCTCACTTTATAGACATTATCTTACACATTATTCTATTTAGAAATGAGGGAATATGAGGACAGAAAGCATAAAGCACTCACAGTGACAATATAAAATCAGAGTTGGGATCCAAGCTCAACCATCTAATAATTTCCACTGTGCCACAATGCAGATATAAATTTTTTTTTAAATATCAAAACCATATTAGAAGATAAATAAAACAATCCAAGATCTCAAGGAACTCAAAATAGTAAGACAGATATGATGCAGTAGTTGCAACATAATGTGATAATCAATACTATCACTGAAAATAGATTTACAAAGTACACAAATTGTATCAATCAAAATGTTAATATGCAGGATTCACATAAAGGTGAAAGAGTTAGGCCACATAAAGACAGAGAAATTCACAAAGCAGAAAAAGAATGGGAAAAGAAATTTAAAAAGCATGTGTATGAGAAAAACACAGAAAAGCAAAGTCAGCTAGAGACGAGTTAAAATAGATATAGTTGAAACATGGAGTCTGTAATAGTTGATTTAAATTGTCAACTTGATTGAATTAAGAGATGCCAAGGATTAAGAGGCTGATGGTTATGTCAGTGAGGGTGTGTCTAGGAATGACTGGCACGTGGCATAGCCAACTGATATGGAGACCCTCCCTAAGCTTGGGTAGCAGCATCCAATAGGATGATGGCTTAGATGGAATAAAAGTTGGAAGAACAGGAAGCAGCAGCAGATGCAAGCTCAATGTCTCTTGAACAGGTTCTTGTTTGCTGCTGCAGTCCTCTGAGGATATCGAACTATTGCTTCTTCACTCTTCCAGAGAGGACTTTCACAGTGACCCTCAGGAAGCTTTCCTTCTCAAGACTTGAGTAGCACCACTGATCCCTCTTGATCTGGGGCTTCAGCCTCTTGGACTGTGCAGCTACGGGTTCTTCGAGCTCTCCAGCCTACAGGCAGCCACTGCGGACTATCCAGCTTCTGGTCACAAAAGCCAACCTAAAAAGTCCCCTTTTTATAATTATACTTCCTGTAGATTCTATTCTTCTAGAGAACCCTAATACAGAGAGTAATTATATGAAGGATTAATAAAAGTTAGGAATTAAGAGTACAAATGTGAGCATATATAAGTCTGACTCTAAAGAGCCTGAAATGTATGTACTTCCCAAAATTGCCATTATAATATAGAAAAGACAAAAACAGAGAATTTGAAATAAGACAAGGGAATAAACAGGAATAAGTAAACAAGAGTGTAATGTCTGAATTACAGATATAAACAGTTAAAAAAATTATGGCTTTTAAAGAACTAACATTTTCCATGTCATTACATTTTAATAAGAAATTTCACATAGCACTGAATTTGATTTATTATAACACTTATAAGAGTTTTTAAAGGCCAAAAAAATTTAAAAATGGTTCTAGCAGATAAAAGCTAAAAAGAAAACATAATAGATAAAAATTTTATATTTACCAAAACTAAAATTTCTATTACTAGAACAGACTTTTCATGTAGCTACCTAAAAATAAATAAATAAATAAATCATATTTTCTTCTTTAAAAACCATTCCTGGGGCAGAAGTTGTAGCTCATGGTACAACGCTCACCTAGCATGTGTAAAGCACTGAGTTTGATCCTCAGCACCATGTAAAATATATAAATAAATAATGGTATTGTGTCCACTTACAACTAAAAAAAAATATTTTAAAAAAATCCTATAATGACTAGAAATAATTCCTGGGTAATAAACTTAAAAAAAAATTTTTTAGTACATTTTACTGAAATTACTTCACCATGAAGAATTTTTTAATTTTTGTACTTTAAAATTGAACAAAAGCCAGACCTGGGGGCACACACCTACAATCCCATTGACAACAAATTCAAGGTCAGCCTCAGTAAATAAATAAATAGGACTGGGAGGYAGCCCAGTGGTAGAGAACCCCCGGGTTCAATCCCTAGTATCATAAGTAAGTAAGTAAATACAGAAATATTTTTTTAAAAAAAAAATTTTTAAAAAACTTTCTTAAAATCCAAGATATATATGATGGGCTAAGCATGCAAATTTTAAAATGTCAGCCACACATTGAAAGGGAAAATCATTTGGAAACTGTGCCATAACTGACAAACAAGAATAGCAACACAATCAGTTTCATTCTGTAACTTTGGAATTTTATTTTTAAAAAAATCAATGTTTTCTTGTCTGGGGAAAAGTGGGGAAAAAAAACCCAGCTAGTTTCTTTAATCTACAAATTAAAGCATTTAATGAATCAACCTCTAACATATTCAACAATGTACAGTGGTTGGCACATAGTAGGCACCCACTGTTTGTTGAGTGAATAAATTAAACCTTACTAACATAACCTTTTCACATGTCTCTTTTAACACTTTTATATTTCTAAATCCAAATAGGCATTTACTTGAAACCTCGTTTCAAAACTTAGTTCGCAAAATTGAGATCTAAACTTGCACTACTGTCTATACACTTGTTAATTTTAACTTTATGGAGCCCTAGAATATCCATGGTAGGAGAAAAATGCGTATTTACTGCTAAAGCTTCCACTCTAGCAATTGTCTTTTCAGAGGCCAAGACAGTAAAGAAAAAAAAAAATTGACTCTTGAACCCAGACTGCTTAGGGCCAAATACCAATTCCACAACCTACTACCCATAAAAGTTTATCCATGTTACCCATTATCTCTGCCTTCTCAGTTTGCTCACTTAGGGAATGAAGATGGTAACAGCAGTACCTATTTCAAAAGACTGCAACAGAAATTAAATGAATTTAAGTCCACAGCACTTAGGATAGTGCCTGATAGTAGTAAGGAGACAGGTTCCATCTACTTTGTTTCTAAACATGGATTTTAAACTTTGAATGCATGGTGTCTTCTACATCAATGAGTAAGAGGACCATTCATTAGTAAAGTAATAAAACTTAATTTACAAATTCTATATAAAAAGACAGAGAAAGCTAGAGAAAGAGACAGTGAGAGACACAGAGAGAAGATAGAAAGACAACCAAATGTATGCGTACACATACACACAGGGTGGGGGAGGTAGGGAGCAGCTGCAGAATAAGTCTTGGAAGAGAAGATGACTGAAAGAGTATATTAAGGTAAGGACAACTGAGCATAAGTTCAAAGTGTTGTAGCATTGTGTGTCAGAATTTCCTTCCTCGGGCTGGGAATGTGGCTCAGGCGGTAGCGCGCTCGTCTGGCATGCGTGCGACCCGGGTTCGATCCTCAGCACCACATACAAACAAAGATGTTGTGTCCGCCGAGAACTAAAAAATAAATATTAAAAATTCTCTCTCTCTCTCTCTCTCTCTCTCTCTCTCTCTCTCTCTCCTCTCTCACTCTCTCTTTAAAAAAAAAAGAATTTCCTTCCTTTTTAAAGCTGAATAATATTCCATGGTATGTTTATTCTATATTTCATTTATTCATTCACCCTGCACCCCCCATAGACAATGTGTATGCTTCCACCTCTTGGCTCTTGGGAATAACACTGCTGGGAACATGGGTATACAAATATCTCTTCTGGCCCCTGCTTTCAATTTTTTTGGATATCCACTCAAAAATAGAACTGCTGAAGCATGTGGAAATTTTGTTTGTTTTTAAATTTCTGAGGAACCACCAAACTGTTTTCCAGGGGATACAATATTTTATGTCCTCGCCTGCAGTACACAAGGGTCCAGATTTCTTCCACATCCTTGTCAATGCCTGTTTATCTTTCTTTCCTTTTCTATTTCCTTTTCTTTCTTTCTTTTTTGATAGTAACCATCTAAATGAGTATGCAATCTGTATTTTTTAAAATTTTGCTGATTGATTACAAAGGATACAAATGAAGCACCATATGCATCAATATTATATAGAGTATGAGATAGGTGGGGGGAAAGGCAGGGAGCTTTTAGGCATGCTACCCTCCCAGCACCTCCATATATGTTCAGCAACTCACAACTCTCTGAACCCTGGTTTTTTACATGGGCTTCACTAAGTTGTCATATTTAATTAAATAATTGGCCATTGGTGATCATCTCAACCTTCAGCATTCTCCCCTCCCTAGGGATGGAGGGGGCTAAAGGTTCCAGCCTTATAACTCCATGGCTGTTTTCCCTGAAAACCAGTGATCCAGAGTCTATCCTGGAGCCCCCAGACATTGTCATCTCATTGTACTTCTTTATTCTTTCATTAGAGGTGGCCCATCCTACTTATGATCAGTCACCTTCATGAATAATTTACCTATTTCCTTGGCATATTAATTTAGCATTAGTCTTTTCTGTTGTGTTCTAATAGTTTTTGCATTCTTATTCATATTGAGGATGGGCCCAAAACTTCACATTGAAGTTGAATATGATATGTAGCAGGCTGAGGTACTTCAGTTATGTAGAGTATTGAGTGTTAATGCCCCAACCTGAACAACACTTAGGAGAAAAAAAGAGAGGTCTCAGGACCCAAGGAGATAGATAGATAGGGACGCAGAGGAGCATAAAGACTGTGTCCTGGAGGGAAGAAGAGACAGACAAGAGAATGAAAATAGAAGGTGGAGATTTTCTGGCTGATCGGAATACACAAGTAGTCACAACACCTATCTCTGAGTTTAATACTCTTTAGAATGAAGTCAACCTTTTAAGATACATATCAATATTTGATATGCCTACTTTAATCTGACAATTTATCTGGCTTCCTATTCAAATACTCAAACTAAAGGTATCCCACAATATCTTAGGCAATCTGACATGAAGAGGTTTTGTTTTTTTTTTTTTTCATTGTTCCCATCAGCTTCTAATTATATACTATTTCTAAGCATTTACTATTTACTCTTATGGATGCATGTCTCTGTAGATTTCTAATTAGTACATTATGTATAACAGTGTAATTCATTATGCCATATTCATACATGGTCATGATATAATTCGATTTTCCTCTCCAGTTTTTACCACTTCTGTGTAAAAATACTGTGTCTGTCTTCTTTCCCCAGCTCTGACTTTTCAACTCCTTCCCAGTTCACACATTCTCTTCCCTTATTTAGAAATTCTCATATACAACTTCTCCCCTTTTCCACAATATTCACCAAACATGGATTTCCCTTCTTTGTGAACCATTTCCTGTTACTTCTCACTGCTGATCCAGCAGGAGAAGCAGAGGAATGTGTAATATTGCATAGAGAGAAATAAAGTTGTTCTGGACCTTTAGCATTCTCCTTAAGCCTCACATCCTCTCCACCCATCTACAAAAGATTGTAAAGGCAGCATTAATTTTTTTTTTCTTCTTTTTTTGGTACCAGGGATTGAACTCAAAGGCACTGAACTACTGAACCATGTCCCCAGCCCTTTTTTTTTTTAAATTTTATTTAGAGACTGGGTCTGAGATGCTTAGGGTCTCAATAAATTGCTGAGGGTAGCTTTGAACTCAATAATCCTCCTATCTCAGAATCCGAAGCTGCTGGGATTACAGGCATGTGCCACCGTACCTGGCTCATTTTTTCTTTTTCTTTTTGAAACTTAAATGTGATATTTATAAACAACATATTGAAGCTATGCCAAAAAAGAAGAAAGTACCTTGGTGGGTGGTAGAGAGAAACTTGCTTACCTCTGAGCTAGGTTTTCTGAACAAATTAGTGCCAGTACATACTTTTGGGAAAACAAATCATCCTTTTATAAAGTAAAAATAATTCCAAAGACTCACCCAAGAAATTAGGATAGAGATGGTCAATATTGTCCACAACATAGTTACACTTGGGACATCTATTATTGTCCTCCAAACTCTGATGAATACACTTGTAGCTATTAGCAGGGAAAAAATAAAACAAGCTTAATTAAATCCATTTAAAAACTGAAAAAATTAAAACTGGTCACAAAATGACAGTCATATATTCCTAAATCAACATAAATAATCTTAACAATTCATTTCAGCTTTTATTTTTACATCATGAATAATATATACAGAGCATCTACTGCATGAATAATATACAAGTTATGTGAAAATAAACTCAAATTGCAAGTTTATTATATGTTAACTTTTAAAGGTACTAAATTTTAAGTTTATAAAATTTACATTGTATAAAATAATATTAGAAAATCAAATGTCTATGGTGTAGTTTAAGCAAGCAAAGCTTACATTTTAGTTACTGGAGTGCTTAAGTCCTTAATATACTAAGAGTGCATTCAAATAAAAATGAAAAGAAAAAAAAATACAAAAAGTCACATGAGAAAACCATTACCTTCACTAGTAACAACAACAAAATCCAAATCTATATATTAGCTTTTAGTCAGAGAGAAACACAAAGAAAATTCTGTCATACAGAAGGAGACACAGAGATATGATCATTTTATGTATTTTTGCAGGAAATGTAACCAGCATGATTTTACTAGAGAGAAAGTTACAGGAAAACTGGTAAGGTATTGCATCCCTTTTAGCATAGGGATTTTACTTTTAAGAATTTATTTTATGAATCAGACATTATTAGTCTGTGTGCATATATGATTACACTACTGGTGTAATTCTACATCATGTACAACCAGAAGAATGAGAAGTTATACTCCATTTATAAAAGATGTGTCAAAAATGCATTCTACCACCATGTATAACTATTAGAACATTTTTTTTTTAAAACAGAATTTATTCTAAGAAAATATATAGGTAGAAAGGTGTTCAATGAAGGGCTATCTGTAAAGACTCAACTAAAATGAAAGCAATCAAAACACTAGGAAGTCAACTAAATGAAATTTGTAAATATCAATTCAATGAATTCTATATACTGACAATAAAGATCATTTTTCAATATATGATATAAAAATAACCTATTAGTAGTTATTTCTGGAAAAAATGTGATTACAGAAAATTTCCCCTTTCTTATATTAAATTCCTGTCTAAATACTGTTCAAACAAATTACAGAAAAATATCAAACTTACATGAGGAAAAAAAAAATCACCCTACCAATATACCACTGCAGTAAGTAATGACCTATGATACAGTATCTACAATATCATCTGACATTTGTTTAAACAATTTTTATATATGTACATTTTAAATAAATTGAAAAAGACATTCACCACAATGTCAAAAGAGTATTTGCCAATGAAAAAGAGTATTTGTGAGTTATACAGAATGTTTTTATAGATATCCTTTAGTTTCTAACATAAATATACAAAATTTTTATCAAAAAAATGACTTAAGAAACTACAAAGGTGAGGGTTGAAGTTGTGGCTCAGTGATGGAGCGCTTGCCTCGCACGTGYAAGACCCTGGGTTCGATCCTCAGCACCACATATAAATAAATAGATAGATAGATAATATAAAGGTATTGTGTCCAACTACAACTAAAAAATAAATATTAAAAAAAAGAAATTACAAAGGTGATTTAGAAAGATCATTCCCAAAGTACCTTTTTTGTTCTGTATCCTAATTATTATAAATTTACCTCAGCTTTATAAACTGAAGATGACTATTCTATCAACCTACCCTACTCTACTTTTCAACAAACAAAAACACCCTACATCCATCAGTTTCTACCGTTTTGGTTATCAACTATTTCTCATCTCACATTCATTACTGTCAAACAAAAAAAAAAAAAAAAAGAAAGATACAAAAAAAAAAGTAACACTAGTCTTGGCACAGCACAAGAGCCTAAAATTTGGACTAAATACTTGGCACATAATAAAAACTCAAAAACCTATTAAACAAATAACTTGCACAGTATTCCAGAAACATCATTACCTATTGCAACTATGACAAGGGTAGGATTACCATATTTTACAAGATATGCCTATATCTGACAAAAAATTTCCTATATGGAAAATTCAGTGAAGCCAAAAAAAATATTAAATGTTTGTTTTCATTTTAATTATGAGAGAAGCATTATATAGATGTACAAACATTTCTCCCAACATGGAGAAATATATAGCCTGCTTACCAGATAATGGGAATGAGTTAACATTACAGGAAATACTCACATATGACAAGACTTTTAATTCAAATAAAGAAAATCATAAAGAAGAGAATCTAGAAAGTTTACTAAACATGAGAGGGTGACAGAGAAGCAAAAGAACCTTTTGGGTGATAGCAAATGACTTTGGTTAAAAAATAGGTCAAAAATGGTCACTAATATGACAAAAAGTTAAGGGCTAAGGGTGTAGTTCAATGGTGGATGTGAATGTACAAGGCCCTGGGTTCAATCTCTAGCACTACAAAATCTGTAAAAGTCAAGAGTTTTTTTTCATTATAAAAAAAACTGTTCCAGAATCTAGAAAAGTGCATCCTCTTTTCTTTGGCACACTAATCATACTTCCTATCAATTGGTTTACTACCAAATAATGCCTCTTGGAAGAAAAAGTAATCTATATATAGTCAAAAAGAATTGTTGTCAGGGGCTGGGATTGTGGCTCAGCAGTAGAGTGCTGGCCTAGCACATATGAGGCCCTGGGTTCGATCCTCAGCACCACATAAAAATAAATAAAATAAAATAAAAAAACATATTTAAAAAATAATAATTGTCATCAGAACAAAAGTCCAGATGACTTTTCTGCACTGGACTTTATATATACTATTTATCTATAAAATTTAAATGCATCAAAATACTAACAATAAGATGCATCTTATAGCATCTACTACCTCACTGCCAGTCCAGAGTAGGTCCTGCTATAGTTTAAAGAACAGTAACATCATATCTTGAACTTATCTCTGTATGTACTGGTCAACCCCTCTTCCATTTCCCAATTAAAAGAAAGGATTGGTTTCACTCGTCTCTTACCCTTAAAATCTAGCATACAGTCCTGTTAAGAATTCAAATCAATAAATGCCAAACCCACAAAGGAACAGATATAACAAGTAACACGTTCTGCTCCTTTCTATATTATAACAGTACTAGAATTTTTCATTATTTCTCATTCATTCTCATTCATCTATCCTACCTGACCATCACTGGTCCACATTCAATACTCCAAGATGCCAAGAGAAAGATAAATGACTAGACTGGTAGTCAAAACAGTTGGGCAAAATGATAAACAGGATGCATTTGGGTACATTCAGAATTTTCAAGCTATTCACAACTGACATAAATGGATACCTTTTTTCTCTATAAAATATATGATAAAAATGGACATTTCTCTAAATATGCATATCATATTTAGAGAAACAGAAAGTATCTGTTTCTTCCATTATGCATATAACGATCTACAAAATATGGAAACATTTTTCTGTCTTTGTGAACAAGGATGAGTAGATACAGAAAACTGAGTAATTAGAAAATTTTAGGTAAAAAATAGATAAAAAAAAAAAACAGTACTAACCAGATATACAAGAAGACTAACAGCATGGTATAAGATGATGAATTAGCCTAGGAACACAAAAGACAACCTGACACCCAGGCATCAATCTATGTAGATTTTATTTCCAGCCTGAAATTTTTTTTTTTAAGATATTGGAGATTGAACCCAGGGGCACTTAACCACTGAGCCATATCCTAAGTCCTTGTTTATTTACAGACAGGGTCTCACTGAGTTGCTTAGGCCCTTGCTAAGTTGCTGAGGCTGGCTTTGAACTCATGATCCTCCTACTCAGTCTACCAAACTGCTGGGATTACAGGCCTGTGCCACCGTGCCTAGCTTAATCTAGCAAAAGAGTAAATTAGGACATGAGGTCTGAGAAATAAGATACAGGGAACTATCTTTTGGCAGCAAAGGGGTAAAGAGAAAAACCCCAGTTTTATCTTTACATTATGCAGAAGCAGACGATTAAATCACTGAGTTTCAGTAAGGTTATATAGCTTAATAACAGGATCACAAGAGATTAAGACGAGTTCTCAAGTGGGAATAAATAAAGTGAAAGACGTGTCTGCCATCTCATCTCCAACCTGCAAACAGGAAGACTTACTTATATGTAAGATGAAATATGACCAAGTTGACATGGTCCAATTTGATGTAATGCTAATAATCTGGATGCAGCTTTGAGCGGTATATCACTTGGCTCTAACTTACCAGCAAGAACACACAGAAGAGAGGCTATGTTTTATGACTGAAGTTTCAGGGGCCTCACACATTAGATAAATAATTATGAACTTCTGCTTTAAACAAAACTGAAAAGAATTTTCACAGTATACCAAGACTCACACCGGGACCGCCAGACTCCACTCCTATTAGCTCCTGCTAACATGATGGTCTCTGTTCTACCAAAACCAAAATGCACTGACGTCAGGATATAATACAACTTCAAATGTAACAAGGATCAAAGCCTAAATTGTTCTACTTTGAAAGAGGAAAAAAAAAAACTATGAAACCAATGGGGTTTCCAACAATGACCTGAAAATACCAGGAAAATTATAGGATTAATTGAAAAGACCAGGATTTCCAATTATAAGCTCAATCAGTAATTTATTATCCTCTCAACACAGAAAATTACTGAACTGATCCAGAGCCCTTGTAAATACCATCATAAATGTGTAAGTTAAAGGACAATTTAAAAAACTAAAAAGCCCATTTTACAATGTTTACTACTTCAAGAATTTTAAGCCTGTGAAGAGAGAAGAAGTGAAGGAGTAGGGAGGGAAAAAGGAAAAAGAGGGAGGAGAAGGAGGGAAGAAGTAAAGGAGGGAGAAGGAGAAAGAAAAGGCAGCAGAGGAGATAGGCTAAGTGACTTGACATAGTAGTAAGTTTTAGATCCAGAAGTAGTACCCTGGTCTATGACCAAAAGAGATTGCTCTGCATCAATAATATTTCTCAACTGTGGGCAACTCTGTTTCCTAAGGGATGTCTGGCAATGTCTGAGGCATTTTTGGTTATCACATGGGGGTGGGGTTTATTACAGAAGAGAGACCAACAGTACTGTTGAACTATCTTCAATATACARGAGAGTTTCTCACAACAGAAAATCTCTGCTGTACTATACAGAAATAGTGCCAAGGTGCGAAAAGTCTACTCCAGAACATTCGATTTTCCATTATAATCAAAATCCAAATTCTGAGAAGTATTTGGAATACTGAGGTGCTGAATCAATTTATAAACTCAGGAATTTACAACTGTTAAATAATCAGCCTAAAAACACCAAATCCATACAGGTATTGGCCTAAAAAGAAGATTCAGATGACCAGAAATTCATTAGCAAATTCAGAGGAAGAAGTAATTCATGAATCAATAATGACAGCATAATAATATACTAACAGATAAAAATTATTGAAGACAGCAACATAGTCTTAAATGGCAAAAGATTCTGGAAAGCTACACATTCCCTGCTTGCCAGTGATAACTTCTTAGAATAAAAAAAAGAAAGATTAGGAAGAGAAATTCACATTTCATATTATATCTTTCAGTTACAATAAATTTTGCATTTCTAAGCCAAGAATTATTAATTGCTCTAATCTTATTTTAATAAACAATATAAACAATGCAAATAAAGAAAGCTACTTTCATTCCAAATGTTTTAAGGGACCATCTGACTGGAAATACCAGTCAATGAAGCATCATGTACCAGACAAAACTAAAGAACTTAGATTGGTGCTAACACACCCAACATTCTTCATAACTATAGTATATGATGCTACATATCATATTCATCCTCAATATGAATGAGAATGTAAGAATTGTTAGAACACAACAGAAAAGACTAATGCTAAATTAATATGCCAAGGAAATAGGTAAATTATTCATGAAGGTGACTGATCATAAATAGGATGGGCCACCTCTAATGAAAGAATAAAGAAGTACAATGAGATGACAATGTCTGGGGGCTCCAGGATAGACTCTGGATCACTGGTTTTCAGGGAAAACAGCCATGGAGTTATAAGGCTGGAACCTTTAGCCCCCTCCATCCCTAGGGAGGGGAGAATGCTGAAGGTTGAGATGATCACCAATGGCCAATTATTTAATTAAATATGACAACTTAGTGAAGCCCATGTAAAAACCAGGGTTCAGAGAGCTGTGTGTTGCTGAACATATGGAGGTGCTGGGAGGGTAGCATGCCTAAAAGTTCCCTGCCTTTTTCCCCATCTATCTCATACTCTATATATTGATGTATATGGTGCTTCATTTGTATCCTTTGTAATCAATCAGCAAAATTTTAAAAAATACAGATTGCATACTCATTTAGATGGTTACTATCAAAAAAAAGAAAGAAAGAAAAGGAAATAGAAAAGGAAAGAAAGATAAACAAGCATCGACAAGGATGTGGAAGAAATCTGGACCCTTGTGTACTGCAGGTGAGAATATAAAATGGTGTAACTCCTGGAATACAGTATGGTGGTTCCTCAAAACTTACACTACTAAAGTATACATATTAAACTGCCTACAACTGTGAATTCTATTTTATGTCTCAATTTTATAACTACGTTTTTTTAAAAAAWATATACACGCTAATGTGACATAAAAACAAAATTTTGTTAAAAACAAAATTTCTACTTTTGAGTAGATATCCAAAAGAATTGAAAGCAGTGGGGCTGGGGTTGTGGCTCAGTGGTGGAGCACTTGCCTAGCATGTGTCAGGCATTGGGTCAATTCTCAGCACCGCATATAAATAAATACGTAAATAAATAAATAAATAAATAAAATAAAGGTCTGTCAACAACTAAAAATATATTTTTTAAAAAAATTGAAAGCAGGGGCCAGAAGAGATATTTGTATATCCATGTTCCCAGCAGAATTATTCACAAGGGTCAAGAGGCGGAAGCATACACATTGTCTACGGGGGGGGTGCAGGGTGAATGAATAAATGAAATGTAGAATGAACATACAATGGAATATTATTCAGCCTTAAAAAGGAAGGAAATTCTGACACACAATGCTACAACACAGAAGACTTTATCCTAAGTGCAACAAGTCAGTCACAAAAAGGAGAAATATTGTATATTGTCCAACTCATACAAACTAACTAATAGGTGGCTGCCAGGTGAAGATGGGAAGGGAAAATGGGGAGCTGTTTTTAGTGAGTATATAGGTTCAGTTTTATAAGATGAAAAAGTTTTGGAGAGTGTACAAAAAACAAACATAACTTACACTACTAAAGTATACACATTAAACTGCCTACAACTGTGAATTCTATTTTATGTGTCAATTTTATAACTACGTTTTTTTTAATATACACACTAATGGGACATAAAAAAAAAAATCTCAAGATACCACTAAACAAAATGTTAAACAAGAAAACAGAGAACTTTTTAATCCTCTATGTCCTTTTCCCCACATCCTCCCCAGCATGCTTTACTGGTTCTTCTGCTTAGTCCAACAAGTGACTAATGGGTGTTTATGTTTATGCTCATCAACCTCCATTTTCTGAAACAGCTTAGTTCCTGTTAATAATTAATAAACAAAAAATTTTAAAATCCATCTTAAAAACCTATGATAAAATATTTCAACAGAACTCATAGCAACCATATGTTACTACCTTGAACTGTGAACCCTGTAACACAGATCAGTCAAGGAAACAATATAAAATTAGTTTAAAAAGCATAATTTCTCATTGGTTTACATATACATATAAGTTTAAAAAAAAAAAAGACTATTTCGCTGAACAAAATCACCTTACCAAAAGCTGTGGCCACACTTCGTCATGTATGCTTCCTCGATCATATCAAAGCAGATGGGGCTAAAAAAAAAAAAAAGAAAAAAAAATTTTTTAAAGAAGAATGTCAACAAATTAGAAAAGGTTATTAATAATATCAATGAAATCAGATTCAGCAAATACTTGAGTTACATCTTCAAACCTATCAATAGAAGATGAAATTCCTACTGAGCTGAACTTTACAAAGATTGTAGTAAAAGAATGTAATGAGTACATTTAATTGGTTTAAATACTTTACTCAGTCCATAATTTTATAGTGCAACACAGTCACAAAGCCCTTAAGAAAATTCTACCATCTTCTTCCACATTCCTGTATTCAAGAGTACCTACCTGGACCTGTTAATCTACATTACCTCTTTTCTTCTCTATCCCCCAAAATATCAATTCTTCAAGTGACAAATTTAGAATTCTAGTTTCAATAATGCTTGTAGATAATGATAATAGTTATCACTATTTCAAATAACAAACTAGATCTACTGAACTGAGACATACATTAAATAGTTTTAATCTTTCTACAACACAATGAGACAGGTGCATATTATGGGATCCATTTTAAAGATGAGGAAACTGAGGCACAAAGCTGTAAAAATCTCAAAGCCAAAATTCAAATTTAGGTCTAAACGGATGAAATGTCTAGAGATACAACCACCATTTGTGACTGAGAAGACAAAAGTCATAAGCTTACAACAGGATACTGGTTCCTTGATGACATCCTCAAAAAGCTCTATCAATCCTAGATTATCTATCTCTGAAGTTCTCTTTGCAAGATAAAAGCAAATCCATCCCCCTTTAATCCAGCATTTATCCACTTTTCTTTACTAGTATACAAATCCTAATCTTACTAATGACACATTAACATTTAAAACTTTAAATGAAAATTTACTCCTTCAAGGATTATTTCCTGATTATAAACAATATCCTAGAAAGTGGGGTTGGAAAGTCTTTTGATAGAGTCAAACATGTTATGGAAAATTACCACAATGGCTACAAAGGGACCCAGGAGAAAGATGTTTGAGATCTGTGGATTAGGGAACAGAGAATTACAAACCAACTAATTCATTAAATATGTCMGGAGTTATCTGATACAATATAATGTATATCAAATTGGTAAAATTCTGAAAAAAGGGTATTTTAATGTTTGAGTTTCTTCAAGTACATAATTAAGACATACAACACTTCTATGAAAATTAAAAAAAAAAAAAGGCACTCCCTTAGGTTAGATGTGGCAAAACAATCACATATATAACTTGGTGACTTTCTGGAATTAGAAACAGGCAGTCTCTCTTTCAGTCCCAACAAAAGGGCAAAAGATTTAATAAGTAAAATGTTAACTGTTTTTCATGCCCTTGATCTATCTCCCCTTGATCAGATATGACTCCTCAGTGTGCAACCCACATAAGAGTATCTAATAGCCTTAAATGCCAAGTCTCTTGCCCACATCTAGAAGGAAAAAATAAAACTTTGGTAGACCTCCAAGTCACAACAGCAACAAACTTACTAAAAAACATTTCTCTACTTTTCCTCCTAAACCTATTAAAATGATAGAAGAATAAAAATAATGCAGGATTTAAAGCCTCAATAATGAAAAGAAAAATATTTATCAATGATAGATACTTGAACAAACTCCACAGGAAGAAAAGCAGACACAAAGGTAAATGAAGAACCAAGATAGAGAAGGCCACAGATCAGAGTACATACTGAAAGGGATAAAACTTAAAAAGTAGGCCAATCAACCCTGCCTACCCCAAAAGAGGCTCAATCCAAGGAGATGATAAACATGAAAAAGGCAGGCTGACTGAAAACAGAGGGATTAACTGGAAGACTTAGTATAAGCAGGACAGCACCATCCAGTGTAGCTCGTGGGCCAGGGCTGGTCCAAGGATTGCAGGATTCATTATGTTACCAACTTCTGAAGAAGTATAGAAATTTGAAGTATAGAACCTTCATCTTGTAGGGGAATTTGACAGAATGTTGTTGAATATAACTGAAATGAGTTTTATTGCATTATATGGGGTTTGTAATCTTATTTTGTAGTAATTCATTTTTACTAAATTTTAAAAAATTATAAATATGACCAAAAAAATGAAAAAAAAATTATCACAGATAGTTTGAATAGCACTGACACAAAGGACCCTAATCTTCTACCTCTTCCAGAACTACCTAGCCAAGCACTTACCTACTTGCTCACCAGTTTGAAATATTTAAATTTTCATCTATGATAGCAAGTTCAAGTAATACGTCAAGAACAGTAGTATTATTGCTAGCTTTTTGTTTCTGTGATAAATATCTGTGAAAATCAACTTAAAAGGAGAAAAGATTTATTTTGGTTCACAGATGTAGAGGTTTCTGTCCATGATTTCTTGGTCCCATCAGTGTGGGCTTCTGGTAAAGCAGAATATCATGGTAGAAGGGTGTTGTTAAACAAGTTGCTTTTAACTCATGGCAGCCAAGAAGATACAGCTTTTAAGACCACCTTCCCAGTGACCAACTTCCTCCAACTAGGCACCACCTCCTAAAGTTTTCTACTGCCTCACAATAGAACCATCTTTGGGGATGAATCCTAGAACACATGAGCCTTTGGGGAGCATCCAGATCCAAACTGTAACAACCATGTTATTTCGTGAAATGCAGGCAATCTAGTTAGCAGTACATAATAGAGGAGAGAAGTCGTGATGTCTGTGTTAAATCCATAGCCTGTCTACTTTTTAATTATAAAATGTGATGAATTATTTAATCTCCCTATGCCTCAGCTTGTTCATGTGTTACTATGCATATAACAGCAGCATCAACCTCACAAGGCAATTCAATTCAAAAGGAAAAAAAAAAACCTACTTGCAACATTAGTAAGCACCAAATAAGCACTCAAATATCAGGATGATGGCATTGATGATTAATTCCACCAAAAGAAATAGTTACAAGAATTGAAAGGATTGCTTCTTAGAGGACTATCTTAGGAATATTGAAGGGGAAGTTTTGTTTCTTGTCATTCATTATAAGACATTTTAGCCTAAATCTATTTTTAAATGGTATTTAATTTTAATTGACACATAAAAATTGCACATAATTATGGGGTACCATGTGATGTTTCAAAAAATGTATGCACTGTGTAATGTTCCAATCAGGGTAAACATACCTAGCTCCTTAAACATTTATTATTTCCTTAGGTGATAATATTTAAAAGCCTTCTCTTTTAGCTTTTTGAAATATACAGTAATTAGCTATACTCCCCCTACTGTGCAATAAAATACTAGAACTTATTTCTCCAAATCATATCGTAGTGTACATTAATAGACCTTTCCTAATCCCTTCTTCCCCTATTGTACCCAGCCTCTAGTAACTATTATTCTACTCTCTATTTCTACAAGATCAACTACTTTAGATTCCACATGTAAGAGAGTTCAAGCAGTCCTTGCTTGAACTGCGCCTGATTTATTTCACTTAACATAATGACCTTCAGTTTCATTTGTCTCAAATAAATCATACATAATTATGACTTTTAAAAAGTCCATCTGAAAGCAACTCTATAGTCTCAATACTAATTTCTAAAACTAGAAACAGTCTTGGACAATAGTAAATATACAAAATTTTCTACCACATGTCTAGGTATTAACATACCAATCTTTCAAATAGCTCCTATAACAAGGCATTTTTAAAATAAGAAAAAGGAGATAGATCTTTCCAATTCCAAATTAAATACATTAATAAATGTGAGTAATAATGCTTCCAATGGACATTTTATGGCTGGCTGTGGCATCTACAATGAACCAACTGTGAATATCCATCAAAAATCCCCTCACAGCATTTACAATCTAATAGGAAACAGAGAGTAAATAAGATAAATGAAGCCCTTCTATAATAAGGTTAGATTATGATAAATGCTAAGGAAGAAATAAAGTGAGGAAAGGGAATAGAAAGGGTTGCACTGGGAAATGGGTTGTAAATTTAGGGAATGGATAGTCAGGGAAGACTCAATGAGAAGCTGACATTTTAGTAAATATTTCAAGGTAGTGAAGAAATCATCTACATGGCAATCTAGTAGAACAATTATCTGGCAGACAGAAGAATAAGTACAAATGTCCTAARGCAGGAAATATAACTGACATGTTCAAAGACTAGCAAGAAGACCTGCAGAATAAGCAAGTGAGAAAACAGCAGAAGACCAAGACAAAGCTAAAGAGATGTCGAGTTTACAGGAGCCAACTTGAAGAATTCAAAGTAAAGTTAAGGACTTTGGCTTTATACAGTAAATTAAACAGAAATTCATTGGAAGGTTGAGAACAAAGATGTGATGACATGGTTAGACAAAATGATGAACCAAATCACTCCACCTGACACAAAGAGACTAAAGGAATCAAAAGTAGGAACAGTAATGGAAGCTATTATATACTCCAGGTGAGAAATACTCTTGGACTGGACAGCAGGTTTGTTTTACATGAAGCTCTATCATCCATTAATTAATCTTTTGTTTTAAAAGAGAACTGCAGTGGGTGCCATGTCATATAATATGCTCCACTATCACTAAAAGTTGTAAAACTTAAAAACTACCATCAGATCAGTTTAAACCCGTAGCTTTTAAGGAATATCATCTAAGTAATTAAATAGAAGAAAATCTTCATTCCTGTCATCAAAAGCTAGCTTTATGACCTTCATGAAAAATAAAATTAACTGAAGCTAATCCTAGCTATGCTATCTACAGCTTTATGACTTTGGACAAGTAGTTTAATCTCTGTAATCCCATTTCCTCATTTATACAACTGGGATAACATTTAAATCACAGAACCACTGTACTCATTAATAAGACATCTACAAAGTGCTCAGTGCTATGCCTGGTATACAGTATTTCATTAGTGACAGAATAAACAAAGAAGAGATAATATGGAAAATTATGTACCAGTGATAAAATTGGTTCTACAATCTTAATATGTTCCCGCCCCCCAAATTCAAGCTGAACCCCCCCCCCAAATGATGGTATTTGAAGTCTAAGCCTTCAGAGGTGATGAGCTAATGAGGGCAGAGCCCTCATA